CAGCTTATGGCCCTGAGGAAATCAATTCATTTCTATCTCAGTTTTTTTCATTTATATAAGGAGGGGGATGTACATTTTCCTGCAAACCTATTTCAGAGGGGTAGTGGGCAATTACTTATGACTTGTAAAGCTTTCTGAGGTAACAAATCTCTCTTTTGCTCAAGTCTTGTATTTTAAGAAGCCTGCAATTTTCATAAATCTACCTCTAAACAGTTTGTGGCACTAGAAAAACTAACCGAAATTCTGATTATACTTCCAGACTGAAATAAAAGTGACCTAAGAAAGTATAAATGAAATGTATCAATAACGAACATTGACCCTCACCGTGCCTGGAGAGAATTTTCTCAGCAACAATGATGGTGATGTATTGCAGGAGCACTGCAATTAACACCACTAAAATCTCCTAACCTAGCAAGTATTCCCACACTGGGAACACTCTCGTGTGTGAATATATCTAAACACATAGATGGAAACTTAAACATACCAAAAGAGATTCCAACCAGCACCTCTGAGATACTGTTTTACATTTTATACCGCCCTTCATTTTATACTTTTCCTCCTAAAGCAATTAACATAACAATTGTTTCATAAGCTGACAATAAGTAGGAATAGTAGTGAAACACTATTAAATCTAGGGTATCCATCAAACTTCAAGCATTTAACCGTGGAGTTAATAGAAGCTGGAGATTCTGTGCACAGCCAACAACGAGATGCAGGAATTGCACAACACGATTCCTCGCACATCATCACCATTTTCTAGGTGTGCATCTCTCTCTCCTTAATGACTATAGAGGGAATCTATGGTAATATAGTTCTTCACCTGGGAACCTTGGATAGCTGAGAGAATGCTGAGTCCTTGTTCTCTCACCCTAGAGTATCTTCCAGTCTGTTTATAGTTGTGACCACAGATACGGCAGATTAATAATAGCCAGTATCAGGAGGACCAGGAAAATCTCAGAAGCTAAGCGCTAGTAGACCTACCTAGTACTTGAATTAGCCATCACTTAGGAATCCTGAACGTTTCAAGCAGAAGCGGTTGATTTTCGTATTTTATTTCTTTTTTTATACGTACCGTTGTCCTCTAAAAATGCATTAATCTTGTGATTATTTCTTCACTGACTGAAAAGCACCATGAAAATAAAGCCTGATTTTTTTTTTCCAGTATATTAGGCATATTCTAATAATCTTAGTCTTTCTCTCTATTAGCAGCTATCTATAGAAGGCTACTTCAGTCAACAATGAACGGCTTGAGAAACTGAAAAGCACTTCCTTTGTCCCCTGAGACCAAAAGCTTCAATCCCTACTTTTAAGTTGCTCTAGGCTTGAGACATGATTCCGTTCTTCTAAATGGCAGCACTATACACTGCTGCAATTCCACTGGGTCATTCTTTATGTAAATTCTCATTAAGAGAGGCTTGGGTAACATTACATTTGCAATATAGTTCTCCAGATTCTGTATTTTGAAATCCAGCTATAAAGCTAAAGCAGTTCTTTCATTAACTCACAAATGCCAGACAGAATACTTGGCTTGGCAGCCACATATAAGTTTTTTGGAATGTTTACAGACAAAAATCCTCTCCCTTGATCAAAACAATAAAAGGAATTATACCCACAGCTTCAGTCTGAAGATTCAAATGTAACAGAGCTGGAACATAAAGTTAATAGTAATATCTGTTGTCTGATACAGCTTCATACAATATTCTGATCACATTGACCTTTTGAGGATAATGTGGCACATTATTCATTCAAATTGTGGACATCTCAAGAGAGAAAACCATAATGTTTATTTTTCTTAAATGTTATTTTTTTGTGTGCATTGCAACACAAAGGAAAGGAGAAGAACAGAATGCTTGTAGAAATGGCAATAATAAACAGATTTTAAAAAAGCACAGCTAGGAAACTATTAATAGATGCACTTTCCACAGACTTTGAGCTAGATGGTGAGCAACCTATGGTTCTCTGGCCCCAAACCTGCAAACTAGTTTCCACCAGATGACCTACTACTAGATTGCATAGGTCAGCTGTTGGTAAAACTGTAAATGAAATGTATTATAAAGAAAAGAAAGACCAAAATGTAATTTTTCTTTTTTGCTTGTAATAGGCTTTCATTTTGATTACTCTCATGTCCTTATGTTGTTACATTTTCCAAAACGAATAAACATTAAAGAATGGACATGAAAAAAATTTGGTTGATCTGATAAAGTATGATTTTTCCCTACAATTTTCTTAGCACATAACTGATTTGGGAAACTCCATCCCAGACACTATGGGACCATATATAACCACTGCAGTGCTGTTGGTTAACTGATACCACAGTGCAGCACCACAGCGTAGAATCTCATAGAGCAAACTGAGAATTCCTGAGAAAAAGGTTTATTCAAGTTTCCATCACTCACCCTGCCATACTTCAGGTGAATGTGCCAAGTCCTGGATGCTCTCTATTGCCAGGGAAGCTTTCAGTTCCTTCTTTTAGATTTGCTCTGCTTTGCAAGGGCTTGAAGACAGGCCTCACATTCGAGGTAACTCCACTAATTAGCTCTTTATATAACAGATTTCTTCTCATAAAATGATGACTATTCGATTATTTAGAACATGATCAACTGCTGGGAGACAATAATATGACCTGTCTCCAGAATGGCCAGTATAGCTCAGGTAGAACAGCAGCTTGACCTCGCCTTCTGTTATAGCGTATAACTGTGTTATAATACAACGTTATGTTCAATATTTAAAATACAGCTTTGTGTAGTTAACTCATAAATATGTCCTACAAATTACACAGCGTATTTTCACTTACAAGAAAGATCTAAATAGGAAAATTAAAAAAAAAAATATAGCATCCTAAATCACTCTAACATATAAGCCAATCAGTTAAACTGAATCAATATGAAAGCAGTAAAGCTAAGTATCGCAAAAGACATGAAACATGGTGCAGAATTAAAATCTGTGAAGACAACTGAAGTTATACACAGCTTGAATTTTACTTTTTACTTTTATATGCGTGATGCACTATGTGTAATCTTAGAAATTTATTATTTGGTCTAACTAATATTAAACAAAATAATTTAAATTCCAAATAGAAAACATAATAAAATGTCATTTTATAGTTTGCAACTTATCTTATAAATAGGACTAAAGATATTTCAAGTCAGAAATAAATAAGACTTTTCTAGTGTATGCTAAATTAAATTTTCAGCCTCTCTTGTAAGAGAAAGGAAGATTCCTGCTCATTTATGCTCAATGCATAACTGCTCCGGTGTAGCTAGTGATCACCCCAAGCACAAGAAAGAGAGAATCAGAGCTCCCATGACAAAATGCTCATGCTCACAGACAACAGAACTGACTGACTGAAGCAGTTCATGGATTGGAGATGTCTATGCCAATGAACTCCACATATGGGATTAAAGACTGTTTTTCCTAAAAAGGATATGTAATAATGCAAATATTAATTACTTTAATACAAATACACTTTTCAGGAGGAAATCGGTGTTTATTTTTTTAATATGGTGAAGACACAGATCCTTTGTAAAGGAACAGTTGTGGATCTGATCTGTTTTTCAATTTTCTGTCTTTGATTAAACTTATCAGCCAAAATGTGAACACTTTATAGTAAAGGGTGCTTTATTGTTTGGATTCTTGTTTGGATATTATTAGGATTCCGAGGTTGGGATGGAAATTCTAGTTAAATTAAGAGTAAGAAAACAAAATAACCATGCAAAAAAAGGGATAATGGATATAAAACCAAAAGGAGAACTGGAGGCTCTACATCTTTTAGAGTTTAGGTAACTCCTCTGAGTGTCTGGCTGTCACTCACCTGGCATACAAAATGACAGAGAGATAAAATATCCAAGTTCACATGAGATGCATGAGCTCTATTTTCAAGTCCATGAACTCATCAGTGCTATAAAACACACTGGCTATTCTAAGCCCTCCCATGCCTGTTTTTCTGTTTACTAGGGGGAGAGAAGAAGCGATATGGATATTGGTTTGAAGATTTTTTTGAAATTTCCACAAACTTCATAGGACAGGAAAATTATGTTCTTCTAAATATTTTCAAAACTCATTGCATGTATACTTATGACAGTAATGTATATTTTACAACAGCATTTCTACGCCTCATTTTCATTAAGAAAAAAGTTCACCCTATGGGCAAAGTGCACACTAAACTGCAAGTTACAAATCCTTGAGACAATAAATGCAAATTGAACACTATTCCTTGGAAAAATGGCAGAAAGTAGTATCAGACTCATTCCTGTGGTACATCTCTTTCCACAGTCAGCCTCTATCCTTTGATAAGTCATTAGAAAAGATGACATGTGTATCCTGGCACAACTAGGTCCTAGGGAAAAGTTGACAGATGTTACAGTATAAATCAGTTCTGATGCACATTGTGTTGCCTCCAGAGGCATCTTCTGGTCTTCTACAAAAGGTTACTGAACCATATATAATATAAAAATGCAGATACAATTGTAAGGAATAAATGTAAGTTTCTGCTCTACCCCACTTAGAAAGTCTAATGCATGAATAATGTTCCATCTGCACAATGGTCAAATGTGACTAAAATTGATTTCAGATGTACCACATGGAGCAGCACAGACCTTAACAAGCTTAGCGACATAGGGGACCTTGTCAGGAATCTGTACAAAATTCATGATACAAGAAATTTGTATAAATGAGAATCTGGGACAAGGAAGAATGGGGGTTACGTTACAAGAAACTTTTGTACCAAGTAATCAAAATGAATCACATACTGAAGGCATTCTCAAGTAGAATATAACAAAGTTTAGTCACATTAAATTTATAATAAACACGTGAAACATGTCAAATGTGCAGCTATGTATCCTGACTATTTAAGTTTTCTGGATGCATGAATAAAACGCAAGCAATGGGAGCAAAACAGCCTTCTGCTAACATGCTTAGTTGGATAGATTTTTTTTTTTTTTGCCTGCAGCCCCAATCTTCCTACAACCTACCTTTGTCAATAACTGAGTAGTATATCCCACCTGCATCCATGACGGGCTGGTGTTGCTCTAGGCTCCCTCATATCACTCCTAAAATTCTAGATCTAGTGATCCAATGTCATCTGGTAATTCTGCAGAGGAAAGAAAGGAAGAGTTAGAGAAATAATATTCCACGCTATCTTTCCTCTTCCAATAGCAAATGCTCTGTGACACTGCAGTGCTGGAGGGAGTTGATATATAGAGAACTGCTCTAGCCTCTTGATTCTCCATCATGTTTTTGCTCGTGTAATTCTGTAATCATTCTGAGAAGCCATATCAAACTAAGCAACAGGAAGAACTTGTGTTTGATTCATATTCAACAGGAGGGAAACAAAACGTTACAGCAGTGCTTTACTTCAGCATTGAAAAATGCCATTTTATTCTGCTTGCTCTGTTAGACTCACGCTTGTTTCACATCTTGAGGGCTAATTTAATTCTCCTTATTGGGTTCATCCAGGTTCAGCATAACATGAACAACCTGGCAAAAACTCTCTACAGATGTATCTGGGGGAAAAAAATCAAAATACATTTATTGATTGTTATTCCTCAAAATAAGACAGTTTTCTTACATAGACTATACCATATTTAATATGCTTTATTGTCAAAAACCAAAATAGTAAAAATATTTCTTTAAATTATGAATTTTCAAAATAAGCCATAAACATTTTCTATAAGGTTAAATCAAATTACTGAGTTTAAATTATTAATAACAAGCAAGCTTATTTAATCTTACCATAACTATTTGAAAAGCTTGAAGATTTTTTATTGATGACTTTGCAGTCTTTCATTAATGTTTCTAAGGATTAGGCATTTAAAAAATTATTAAAAGAATGAAAAAGGCTGTAAAATAAGTATTCTAAATTTGGGAAATACCCTATGCCAGAACTGGTATCATTAAAAGATCAGGATCACTCTCTGAACAAGCACTTAGAAATATTTTTACCTTTTAACCTGGCCTATAGTTTTCATCAATATGTAAATACCGTTGAGATATTTACACCCATGTGTATTCATTGCACTCTGTTCAACTCATTTCTGGAATATGAAATAATTCATTTCTTGATCAGCACTTTAAATCCTATGACTATAGCAGCCAAACACCTAACAATCAGCAACTGCCATATCCTGAGGAGGCAATAGTGTTTTCTACATTTTTTAGATGGAGAAGAGAGACAGAGAAAGAAGTTTCCTTTAAATTAGGATGTCCAATCTAAAATACTTAAGGATCCATTTTTCAGAGTATTTGCATTTATAGCACAGTGAACATTAAAATCTCTGATTTAATTTACTTCAGACAAAGTCAGTGTCAAATTCTCAAGTTGTAAGTCAAAAAAATTGAGGAAAACAGCATTAACATTTGTTTCAGTGTTTTTAAACATTATTCCCAAACCTTCAAATTGGATAAAATTCAATCTAAACAGTCTCAACGCAGAGACTGTGCTCTGAAATCCTCCTCGCCTGTCCCACTCTGTATTTCCCACTATATCATGCATTGACAATTCTGCAGCCTTTGTGAGAATAAAAATATTTTTTAATGTATAAAACCATTTCCACATTCATGGGGTTGGTTCAGTCTCAGACACGTCATTCCCAACAAGGGTTCAAAATGTTAAGTCTTGTGTTGAAGAGTATACAATTCACAATTCATTTAAAAGGGAAAAATATACTTCCTCAGTTTTAACAGGTCTAAACTTGAGGTTTCATTTTGCAATCTCGGTTTCCTTTGGTTGCATTTTCTGTGAATAGCTTTCCCCATGCCTAAACAAACAAAAAGCAAACCCCCAAAATTCCCAGTAATTTAATCTTGAATTTCCATCTCAGGCCCCACAGCATCTCCTCCGATTAGCTCAGGTTATGGGTTTCCAGACTTAAGAACGCGTAACGGGAGGCTGAAGGGAAGGTATGTAGTTTGATATACCATCCTGTAGCGAAACCCTGGCTCAGCTGAACAGCTGAGAACTGACACAGCAAGGCCATAAATGATGAAGTCTCAGAAGAGGCTTATCACATGTCAGAACGTAACTGTATATGCAGAAAATCAACCCTCAAACCAACAGTTCCAGTTTCAAATAAGTAATTGTTTTTTCCATATCTAGTTCCCCCTTTTGCATTTCATAAAATCAGAAATTTGATCTTTTAACATATGAGTGACATGAGAACTGTGAGGATGTGGAGTTTAGCTGCACAGGAATAATAAAGCCTAAAGCTTCTTCCCTACTTCCCTATGAGACGATTGTTTCAGAGATCAGGCTTCTAAGTAGCCTCACATAATATGTCTGAACCAATATGCTCTGTGCAGGAAGGCATTCAGGCACCATAAATTCATGAACTAAATGGTCTGTCAGTCACCAATTTAGTACAGTGATTTATTCTTACATGTTGCAATGGCATTATAAGCCACATAGTACTTTACCTTGAAAGAAAACAAGAGCGGCATTTTTCAAATCAGGTTTAAATTTATACATTGATTCCATAATGTCTCAAGCTGCTTTCTCTAACTCACTTCAAGATTTTGATTATGGAACCATAGAATTTAAAGACAAGCAACTGAAATAAAAGTTAATATAATAAAACCAGTTAAGTGGGTTTTTCTACCCTCAGTCAATTCAATTTTCACAGATAGAAAACAGAAATAATTCAAATAGTCATTCACTCAGTCTTCTTTTCCGGATTTTGACATACTTTGTTTTGCATTCTCTTAAATGCATCACACTTTAAAGCATTTAGGGATCAAATTCCCTGGCATATAGAGAATCTTCAGTATAGATTTATACAGAGGGGACTGCAGCAGCTTGAACGATGGAAGCTAATAACATCAACACAGCATGCGTATGATTTTATGCACAGAAACTTGGCAAGAGTAAGAGTGTTTTTAGTGGAATGCGGCTATGCTAATACTCCCTCCTGTGAATAGCTCCTTTTCACTGTATAATCAAGATCTCCATGCAGTGATCTGAGATGCCTTTTCACAGAGCTGCTTTCAAAAATGAAATTATCTTCATTATTATTAATTTTATGAAAATAAATTGCCTTGGAGTTTAGTGCTAATTACTGTCCCTGTCATAGAGCCCAATAAGGGGAGGTGTAGAATTTTATGCAATAGAATCTCAAAGATACGGGCTACAACCTCGCAAAGTAATAAAATGACTTCTAATAAGCATAATAGAAACCTTGAGCTAAAATGTCTCTAGTCACAATTACCTCACAACAGAACACAAAGCAGAGCATATTTCCCCTTTTATTTTAAACTCCAGTTATACTATTTCCATGTTCAGGCAAAACTTTAGAACAAATAGTACCCTTCGTCTACTTTATTTTACAAGTTGTCAACAAGCATATGTGGCTGACAAGGAATCCACATGTGAATTTTTGCATGTCTGGGGTTTTATTTGCTTGTTTTGGAAGTAAGTTTATTGAAATACTATGGAAATAAGTATTAAAAGGCACATATGAAAATCCATTAAGTCTCAGAAGTTTCTGCCCTGATTTCACCTATAGATAAAGGGCTCAGGAACATGGGAAAAGTCACTAACCTTGATTCCTGTTATCACTTAAGAGCAGGCCAGATAAGCTCTTGGATCAAATTTAAGATACTTCAGTCTAAAATCACCTGCCAAGTGCTCAACCACAGGCTTAGGTTGAGCTTACTGTCTAAGACAATATTGTCTTACGTGTCACAACTTGATGGCAGAAGCACATGAAATAGGAATGTTGACACAGTGTCATATACCCACTCCTCAGAATGGCTTTTGGGGGATTCACATATAAAATGGAGTCCCAAGACGCTCTGAGCAGTAACCTGAAGAGATCTTGATAAGACTGAAATCCACACAATAGCTTATGGAAAGCTGCAACACTAGTAACAGTTCATCTCCTCAAAAACTAGCAATTTTGAAAATGACTAGTTTTGTTCTCTGACCTTAAAATTAATGAGAAAAAGAAACGAGAAACATCTGAAAATCATCCCCAAACCCACAAAATCCTAATTCATGCTGTTTCATTCAAAGAGAAGTACCAAAAAGCTGTCTGCATGAGAAGAGGTGAAATTGGAAACTCCTGCTGCTTTTAGTGCCTTTCTATCAAATACAGACAGAAGAACTAAACAATATAATACAACATTTCCTACATACAAATAGTTTAATGACTGCTTGGTAAAAGAAATAAAAGTTAAAAGGAAAAAATAGTTTTCTGCATTCTCTCTTCCTCTCTCCCCCATTCAACAAGGGATGTATTAGCTGAAGCTGTTCAATAAATCTTAGAGCTTGCTTAGGCAAGAAAAATTATAAAGAAAGAAAGAAGTTACTAAGAAATCACTGCTTGGGTACTGATGTAAATTTTACTTTATTTCAAAACCAAGCCAAATGCAGAACAAATCATGAAGCATATGAAAATAGCTACCACTTAAACAGTATTGCAAGCAAATATGTTACACTGTGCACCCCTGAGACTTTTTTGTTTGAAAGCAAAGAGCATGTGGATCTGCAGAAACACCACCTTCCTAGTTAGTTGGGTTCTTAAATCTAAAGGATTTATTTAAGAGACTGTATGCAGTGATCAGTCTTATGAAAAACCCACCCCGTTTATTTAATTCTATATCTCTAAAAACACTTTAAACAAATATATCAAACATTTTTCTCACAATTTGAGAAAACAAATGTGAAGTTTCATTAGATATGAAATATTAGGCAAAATAACATAAACATCACATCCATCACAGCCTTATTCAGTTAATTAAATTCAGATGCTCAGCTGAGTAATTTTAATGAGTAGTACTGGACATATTTTCTAGAAGCAGGAGTTCTCAATAATTTATCCTTCTTTCTTGGAACTCAGAAATATATTTTACTATTTGATTTTAAATGGCTATGCCCATAAATTTTTCCCATGAAGCATGAATTATTGTAACCGTGTGTTCACGATTAACAGGTGGCTAAATAGGAGCGGAACAGGGCTAGCATTGTGTTAACTGCAGCTCATCATTAGAAGATGTTAGCTTGATGGAGTCACAGTAAATGCTTGTGTTTTTTTCTTAATCAAATCTCAAATGCAGATCTCCTGTAAAAGCACTTTTTATTTTCAGATGAGTTAAGGT